GATCCTAGAGTCGTCACTGATCTTGCATTCTTTGGGTCTATATTGTAGCGTTTATCTACCTTAATCAGTGTGATTCAGCAAAAGTGATATTCTGTCATAGTAACTGAATAAAGATGAATGACAGTTTATCTTGTGTAATGAACCTTGGACTTCTTTTAATAGTTAATAAAAACTTACCAAAACAACTTGAAAATACAGGTAGTGTATAAAACTAGAGAGTTGTTATAGTGATAATAGAACGAATTTACATCCAGCCAATTTGGAGTCACTAATAGTTCTGCCCTACATTTCACTACCAACTACTTCGCAGCTTTTTAAATTAACATATAAGGCAAGAGCCAATCAGCGTTAGAATAATAACTTTGGAAGAAATCTAATCAACATATATAAAGCAAGAAACAATCAGCATTAGTTGGGTTACCCCCTGTATAAAAGGGTCGAATTAAGCAAGGTAGCTGACTACAATATATTTCTTGCATTTGTATGGATGGAATTCTCTTTTCATTCAACATTTTAAGGTCATGGAAATTGCATCTGAATGTGGAATTTCTAAACCAACGCTCAAAACTGTCCTCGATTATCTAAATGACACTGGAATAATTCTGTACTCTAAGACTAATGAGAAGTTAAAGTACACAGTTATTACGAACTTGCGCATGATGATCGACGTCGTGACGAAAATCATCACAGTAGTGAAACCACATGATATTGACAAGGTAAGCAATATAACAATCTCCTATAAAAAAAAATTTTTTTATCATTTTTTATGATATTTACAATTATGGTGAATTGAGTGTATTTTATGTGTTCATATTTTCTTGTAGCTGCCAATACTGAAGCAGTGGTATAAGCTCGACCGTGAAGGAATTCTACAAGAACAGTTGCTACATCATTTGTGGCGACATGAGATAGCGAAAGATGCCAGCAACTTAGAGGTATTTTTAGAAATGTTGAAGATGTTCGGGTTACTGTTTGAGCAAGAAAATGTAAGCTGGTTTCTAATCGTTTAGCAGAAGTAAACCCTTTCATGTTATTATTTTTTAGTTCCTATGCACATAATGCAATAGGAACTATTGCATTATGTATTCACTTTTTTGCATGTGTGTGTATAGGTGGGTGTGTGTGTGTGTGTGTGTGTGTAGCCATCTTCAGGAAAGGTTTTCGGACATTTTTGTTTTACTGACAGTGACATGCCTAATGCCCTTGGGATAAGTTTTCTAACTATCCTTCCATCACTTTATTTTCATTGCACTCTATCTTGTCATACTGTCCCACATTGCCCTTGTGGAAAATATCAAGGTGTCACTAACATTCTCGTACAAACAGTATTAACATAACAAAGTATTGTGTTTATTGATACTGCATTTAATAGTAAATAATAATTTTGAAATAATACGAAATATTGTTATATTGCTGTAATTTTATTTTTGCCTTATATATTTTTTTTACACAGACATTTGACCCAAACTGTTTACTTCAAAAGTTTAAGTTTTGTTGATCACTATTAAAGAGTCTGAGCGATTTAAGGAAAGAATTTGTATTAAAACTGTGTACGAAGGTGTGGGGGAGGGGAGGAGGGAAGCAGTGCCTCCCTGGATACGTCCCTGCGAAAGTTAAAAACAATCCATAGTGATAAAAGTATCACAGTTTATGTATTAAGTAGGCCTATAGGCCAACATTTTCGCAACCACAGCATAACACAGCAAATGGCCTAAATATCTTTTCTAATTGGAGTATTTCGTATATAAAATTCAGTCACAGAACTTCACTATCATACTGCATAAAGTTGATGCCTGCTAAGGTGGTTTTGTATATTGTTGTCTAGTAGGACATGCCAGCTCCCCTATCCCCGATATTGTTTCAAACTACTGTAAAATGAAAATACTGTATAGGCCCTGTCTCTTATACACATCTAGATGTGTATAAGAGACAGAGGTAGGAGTGGTGATCATGTGGAATTGTTTCGGAATCGTAGTGACTTTTACTTAGATGATGAGCATGTTGTGAGTCTAGGAGCTGTCAGAATCAAGAACAGACATGCATTGAAAGTAAGATGCAATGCTGAAGTTTAAACATATTATAATGTAATAACAATGTAGAATTATGTTATAAATTATATATTATATATAAAAGTATATATAATTATGTAACAAAATAGGCAATAACATACACAGTTAACCATATGGAGTATTTCACCAGCTTCAGCAATGAGGATTTGAGCCTATTATTAGCCGAACCTGAACTTGATCGATTCCTAAGCCTAGGATGGTTTAATGCTGGCCTTCGAAAGGAAGATAAGTCCTTCTAGTATTCGTCTAGGCTCATCCTGTTGGTGTTGTATAAAAGATATAATGAATGTTTCTCATTCGTATAATGGGGTGGAATATTTCATGAGGTGAAAGATTGAATGTTCTATTCACCTTGTTGAATAGAAAATCCAGTCGTTCACCTCATGAAATACTCTACCCCATTGCACTCATAAACATTCATTATTTGTATATAATGTGCATCCATGACCTTTTCTCAGTGAACATTAATAAAATATCCTGTATGTTGTCTTATAAACAGATTGAAATTTCACATAGGATAATAGTTGATGAATATGGCAAAGAAGAACCTCTTGAACCACATCCTAGCATCTGCATGGAGGTAAGCTTCCGTAACCAAATTCTGTTTATTCTAGTCATTTTGTAGTAGCAGTTTAGCGCAGCGGTTGCAGTTCTGCATTTCAAACTTGGGGTTGGAGGTTTATTCCCCCGTTGTGCATTTCGTTTGTGTCCTTAGGCAATTACTTTACCTGTTTTTGTCTCCTTCCACCAAAGAGTACAAGTGGGTACCTGGTGGGTTCAAACACAAAATGCGCTGAATACAGATGAAATTTAATTAGAAATTAAAGAGATAATGAACAACTTTATTATAATTTTCTTTAGTATTACTTCTTTTAAATCTTATTTGTCATGCCTGCTTATGCTTCGAGACAGATTCCCAATTTTTACCAAATGCTCAAAACATCTTTGCTTCAAACATGGCTATAAGTTTTGAAAATCACTAGTTCTAAGTGAAGGGGTTTTACTTAATGTTTAAGGAATTAAGATTTCAGTGGGTGCGTGGGTTTGCAAAAATCAACCAAATGGGGTAGGAGAGTTGCTTATTGTTCCTTATATGGTAAAAAAGAACAGCTATTTGGGTCATAGCTTCAGTGTTGTAGGGCATCCAATGTCTTTATAATCAACTTTAGCCTTGTTCACTGGGAAAAATATTATAGTCTGGACTAATTTTACTATTTTCCTTTATTTTGACAATCTGAAAAAGAATTGACTGGTCGCCATTTAGGGGTCTTGGTTGCATTCCTTAAACACCTACAAAATTGACATTGTATACACCTTGCATATGCAAACATAAAAATTGTTCAGCATAATTTTATTTGATTTTTATCAGGTATTAAGTTACCTTCGACAGCAGTTGAAAACTGTGTATGTTACTACAGAAGGAGTTGGCTATGAGTTATGCGTCCTTTGTCATGCCTGTGAACCTACGCTGCGACCGCTGCATAAACTTGAGGAATGTTTGAAAAAAGACAGTGTGCCATGTGGAAAAAAAAAGTTAGTCACAACAGCTCGTATCAGACGACTCTTTTCAACAGGTTGGTGTAAGAATATAATTTGTATATGAAAATGGTTTTATATTTTATTTTGGAAACACAGCGGTTGCTAATATATTGATTTATGTTCTATTGAATAAATGAAACACTTAAAATTTAAAATATATAAATAATATCTCATCTGTAATGTAAGTCAGAATGCTGTACAAATGCTACAGGTTTCATTAATTGAAATGAATGTGATTACAATACTTGTATGTTTTAGTGACGGATGCAGTGGATGGGGGGTTGCAAAAGGATAAATCATTCTTTCTTCACTGGCAGTAACAAATGAATACAGTATTCAAATTTTAATTGGGGGAAGACTCTAACATAACCCTCTCTCTTGGACCATAAGTCTATTTATTTGTGCTTTCCACACCCGCCAAAAACGTTTTGATTCCACCTCTGATGTATTTAATTCTATCTTTTATTGCGGTGGAAAAGACAACTCGGAGGTCATAATGCTAGATGAGGAGTGTCATTATATATGGAAGTGAATATGACAATTATTAATTTTAAAAGCTGAAAATGTTATGATTTTGCTCTACAGGTTTTGATGATAGCTCTACACAAGAAACCCTGAATTTTCTGGCACTTCAGACATTGATTGTTGGTCGTGGAACCAAAGAACTACGGAGGTACTTTCTAGACAAAACTAACCTTACCAAACCGGAAGTTAAACCATTTTTGACAAGGGAGAGGTATGCATTACTAAAGGATGTTGATTTTGGAGATGATTCAACAACAGTGTTTTCATCAACCAGCAATATTGATTCATTCCATATGGACATCATGATAAAGTTAATTCGCTGCTGTTGTCACAACACTAATAATACAGAA